CATTTGCACCTTCACGTAGATTCTGCTCAGACCCGACCCCGTCACTCCACTAGCAGGTCTTTCACTGGATCCCCAAAGGCTGCAGTCCAGTGCTCGATGTCTTCCCTTGTGCTCTGCAACCTTAACATCTCAAAAACGAAGCCTCCATCGAGAAATGGGATAACATCTTTAAGCGGGTGAAGAGGTGCATTTCATTTTTTAATATTGACACGCAAAAGACTTGAAAGCATTGATCGTTGTTCTTTGATCAAGGGTTTCTGTGGCTTATTTTGACATATGGTATGAACACCCCACGTGTTTGGGGTTTTTTCCCCCCCTGTTCTTTGCAGTTCCTTTAGAAATGTATATCATTCATTCTCTATTCTAAAGGACTTCACCTATGATGGTGGTGGGTTTCGAATCAGGCGTAGAAGCCATTCGGGGAAATGTTCCTTTCTGAGCATCATGCCTAACTTTGAAACGTGCCTTCAATGAAACCCATGCCAGGCACATGAAATGGAAAAGTATTCGGCACCTTGGTTTTGATTTTTGGTGAGACGAGGGAGAGGAAGGATTGTCAGACATGGAAGGGGCCCGAGGTTTCCCATCTGTTGTTTAAATCGTTACATTGTGGAATTATAGGAGACTCTAAGCTTGTTTTTCTAAGTTTCCACCCTTTGTTAGAAGCGGTTCAATCCTGTTTCGGACCAGTTCTGGGGGGTGGCGAGGAGGGGCGCTTGTGCAGCTCTCAGCAGATTGGCTGCACGCGTCAGGTGGTGGCGATGACTTAATTCCCAGACCGAGAAGAATATAGTGTTAAAACTGGTTATGTAATTTTGTACTTCTCCTTTTTAATGCGATGTTTAGTTCCAATGCGGGCTATTTTCGAAAAGTAGAGCACATTTTTTACCTTCATTTTCAGTATTAAATAATGCACATGCCCGAGGAAGTGCTAGCTGAACTAAAGCAAGTGTAGAAATAAAGGATGCTTCCAGCCACAGCATTCATGCGCTGTTCTTAAAAATATTAAGATGAAGTCAGTTCTTGAGGTAGGTTTTCAGTTGCACAGAGGGAATTTGCATCCTGACATTATTTCTAGTTCATCTCTCCAAGCAGTAACGCTGATGAGAAGCGCTAATGCCTAGTGACAGTCGTCGTATTTGTTGGAAAGCATAGACAGGAGTTTGTTTGAACCTTTCTGGATATTGCAGCTTTTTATACAATGGTGGGAAGAGACAAAGGTTTTCATAGAGTTGAGACTGTAGAGTAACGACTTGGGGACAAACACAATTTACTAGCTGCTCCACGATTTCGTGGTAAAATAAACTGCGCCTTTTAACCCCACGAAGCACCCCTGAGCCTCTGCAAAGTGCAGACGAGCTCTGCGCCTGGAATACTTTCAATGACTTAGAACCGGGACCTCTCACACGAGCCTGGTCGCGGAGGCCCCGCCCCGCGCGGCCAGCGATAGGCGGAGCCGGGTTTGTTAGCCTGTTGCTAAGGCGATGCCAGCCCCTGATTGGATTGGGCGCGGGTCGGTCGCCCCACCGTGGCCTGTCCTGGGCCCCGAAAGACATGACTTGGGGTGTCAGGAGAGTAGGTGCGGAAAGTGCCGGGCGGCCCTGGGCGCAACCTGCGCTGCCAGCCCTAGTCCGAGGGAACTTGGGCGGACAGGGTCCGCAGGAGCCCATCTTCCTGTTTTCCGAGAGGAAGGCGTCAGGTACCTTCTGTGAGCGCTCGTTTCCCTCTGAGCGGAAACAAAGCCTGTCCCCGACAGGTACAGACCGGCTCCCTTGCTCTGACCCCAGGGAGAGAGCGCCGAGGCTGGGGTGGAAGGGAAGGAAAAGGGATAGCGACGTCCAAAGCCGGGTAGGGCCTCGGCGAGGATTCCCTCCCCCGCCCATTGTTCCCCGGGGCGTCTGGTCCCCACCTCCCACCCCGCACCGTCCCGGTCTCCGTCGTTGCAAGTGGAAAGGTGTCAGGGTGGCCCGAGCCAGCTCGAAC